ACAGCCCACTTTACCAATCGACCCGAGACCGACGGCCGACCAAGTGTTTCTCCCAACTGTATGTTCGTTCGCACCCTCACTTTATGGTTCAAGAAATAAGGTCTTAACTTTCGAGCAGTTACAACCACAGCTAAAGCAAATTTTTCTATCTCCGAATACCTCGTCTCGGCCCCCTGCATCACTCTACTCACATAATAGATAGGCAATTGGGCCGCTCCTTCTTCTCGTAACAGTACCGAACTTACAGCTCTCTCCCCGATAGAAATGTATAGCACCAGCTCCTCTCCTTGCACGGGTTTGGCCAATAAAGGGAGATTGGCCAACACCCCTCGCAGCTCCTCGAATGCCTTTTGCGCCTCCTCCGTCCATTGAAACTTCGCGCTCTTTTTTAGGGTTCTGAACAATGGGCTACTCTTCTCCGCCACCTTCGATATGAAACGACTCAGGCCCGCAATCCGGCCGGCTAAGATTTGCACCTCCTTTATGTTTGTTGGCGACTTCATCTCCATCACAGCTCGTACTTTCTCCAGATTGACCTCAATACCTCTCTTGGTCACCAGGTAGCCCAGAAATTTGCCCGATCTCACCCCGAAAGAGCACTTGGCCGGGTTCAACTTCATCCCATATCTCCGCAACGTCAAGAATGTTTCTTTAAAATCTCGCACATGGTCGAGTTCCTCCTTACTCTTCACCAACATATCATCCACGTATACCTCCATATTCCTTCCCAGCTGCTCCTTAAAAATCTTATCGACCAACCTTTGATATGTGGCACCCGCATTCTTTAAACCAAACGGCATGACCACGTAACAGTAGGTCCCTCGACTAGTCACAAAACTCACCCGCTTCCTGTCTTCTCTAGCCAAGGGAATTTGATGGTGCCCTTGGGATGCATCCATCAGGCTCAGCAACTCAACCCCGCCGTTGAGTCGACCAGCTGGTCGATTCTGGGCAGTGGATACAGATCCTTCGGGCACGCCTTATTCAAGTCACGGAAATCAATGCACATTCTCCATATTCCTTCCGACTTCGACACCATCACTGTGTTTGATAACCACTCAGGGAATTGAATTTCCTTAATATGCCCTGCTCCCAACAGTTTCTCAACCTCCTACTCGATAATCTTGTCCATCTCCGCCCCATGGTGCCTCCTCTTCTGCTTCACCAGCCTCACGCTGAGGTCGATATTCAGTCGATGTTCAATCACCTCCGCACTTATTCCAGTTAACTCCTCAGCTGTATAGGCAAAAATATCAGCGAACTCCCTTACCAAGTCAATCAGCCTCGACCGAATGGGCTCCTCCAGATCCTTCCCAATTCTGAACTTTCTACCCTCGCATCCCTCGATCATCTGAATTTCCTCAACCTCTCCTCCAGGCTGGATGTCCATCTTCTCCTTGCCCATGTCCACCTTTTGCTTCTCCTCCTTCGACCTCGATCCTCCCGGTCGATTGATTTCCTCTCCCTTCGACTCGACCTGTCTCCTTGCCAATTGTTTGTTATTGCTAACTTTTGTTTGGTAACAGCTTCTCGAAGTGAGCTGGTCCCCGGCAATCTCCCCTACGTTTTCGCCCACTGGATATTTGATCGTCATGTGGTACGTGGATACGACTACCTGGAACGCGTTCAAGCTCGTCCGCCCCATGATGATGTTATAGGATGACTCAGCCCCTACAACTACGAACCTCACCATGCGCACCTTCCTCAGCTCCCCTGATCCCAGCGCCACGGGCAAACTGACCTCCCCCATCGGCATAACTTCTCCTCCATTAAAGCCATAAAGCGCCGTGGCCACCGGTTTCAGTTCCGTATTCAGCTCCTTGTTAATCTGCACAAAACAATCATAGAACATGACATCCACCAAACTCCCGGTATCAATGAACACCCTCTTTACATCAGAGCCCGCAACCTCCGCGGTTATGACCAGAGCATCATTGTGGGGTAAGACCACCCCCTCAGCATCCTCCACCTTGAAACTTATTACCGGCATGCGCGTTGTAATCCCCACCTCCTCTCTCTTTCTCTTCACTGCTCGCGCATGCTCCTTCCTCGATCTGTTCGAGTCACCATCTGTCGGCCCCCCAGAAATCATGTAAATCGTTCCTCTTTTCAGCGGGGCCCCTCCTCCTTGTCCCTCTCTATCTCCCTCCTTTCTCGACCTTTTTCCTCGACCATCCCCCCCATCTCCTTCCTCATCTCTATCACTCCTCTCCTCGGAATCCTCTCTACATCTCCTCCTGCCCTTTCCTTTCACCCGGTCGTGATAGACAAACTCCTTCAGATATCCTGCCCGAATCAACCTCTCGATCTCATCTTTCAAATGCCTGCAGTTCTCCGTGGTATGGCCGTAATCCTTGTGAAATCGGCAATACAAATCCGACCGGGGCCGATGCAGGCCGGTGAACCTTGTCTTTGGCCAAGTTACGTCCTCAGTCGACATCTTCTGCTCCATGGCCTCGAGCACTTCCGTCATATCTTTCCTCAAGGGAGTAAGTTGTGGTATCTCTGCCTCTCGAACACCATAGGCCTCCTCTGCCATTCATCCCTCTTTTCCCTTTTCGCATCTCCACTCCTCCTTCGAGGAGACGCTCTCCTTTGTTCGCTCCTCTTAGGCGAGCTTCTCCTTGGTGATCTCCCCCTCGGGCGGCTTTGCTACTTCTTTGGCTCTGGTTGGGACATCCCCTCGAGTTTTGCAAACTCCATCTCCATCTCCTCCAGATTAATGTACTTCCTGCACCGCTTTAGAACATCCTCGTACGATCGAGCCGGGGTCTTTGCCAAAGAAGTTCAGCAAGGCCCTGGTCGAAGACTCCTAATCAATCCTCCTGCTTTTACCTCATCTGAAGCGGAGTGCACTTCCAAACATGTTTTATTATATCGAGCAACATACTTTCTCAGCGATTCCTTCTCCCCCTGTTTCATCGCCATAAGGGTCAAGAAAGTCTTCTCTTGTGCCACTGCGCTCGAATATTGATTAATGAGCTTGCTGGCCAGGTCCTAAAAATCCACAATCGATCCCGAAGGTAATTGATGAAACCAGTCAAGCGCTCCTCCGCGTAGGGTCGACAAGAACGCCCTGCAACAAACAGAATCCGAGTATCCATGCAACACCGCCATATTCTCAAAGGTCCTCACATGCCTCGATGGGTCGGATGACCCGTCATACACCAAGTTGGTCTCCTTGAAATTGTTCGGCAAAGGAGCAGCGAGGATCTCCCTTGAAAAGGGATGTCCTCGAGCTCTCCTCTCTGGCTTTCCCTCCACCTTATCTTGCAACTGGCGCAACTGCTCCGCTATCCTCTCCATGGCCCGATCTCTCCCAGCTCCTCCTTCCCCATAACTGGACACATCCTCATCCTGGTTCCCCGTTGCCGTTGTCGGCGCAGTGGTGGCGTGCGATGTGTGACTTGTGACCTGTTGCACCGCCTGCGCCGCCGCGGCCGCTGCGATCCTCTGCATCTCCTCCCGGGTCATCGTAACCACTTGCTGGCCCGGGGTTTGTACGGCTACTTGCGGTGCCACTCCTCCCTGTGCCTGCACTCCTCCTTGTGCCTGCACCCCTCCTTGCCGTTGTGTTGGATCTGGTGGTGGTGGTGGCGGCATCGCCGCTGCCGCTGCTAAACGAGCCTCCTGGGCCTGACTGGAGCTGGCACCTCCGCCGGGAACCACCGTCGTCGCCCCTACACCTTTGAAGTTAGGTGCGGGAGTGACTGGAGTCTGCGATGGGCCAGAAAAACCCGGAGGAGGGCCGTGCCCTAGCGGCCTGGTCGTCGTCCAAGCCTCGTCGAACATCGACTGTAAATTTCTAGGGATTCCATCCGCCATAGCTGAGCTTCAAACACAACTTTTTGAACAAAAAATCCCCACAGACGGCGCCAATAATGCAAGTGTAAGCGTCCGGGTCCGGTTTGGAGTGGATCGATTCTTGTCCTTGCCGGTAGAACGCCAAGAACCTGCAAATAACTCTCACACCGGGGGTTGGATCCGGTGAAGAGCCTCCAATGCTTAAGTCAGTATGTGTATGAGTATACTGGAATTTAGAGAATGAATAGAATGTGTTAAGGAAGAAAGGCTCATCCCCCTTTTATAGGGGTGAGATACCTGCCCTAATAGCTGCCCGGATAAGGATACGTGTGCTGCCCAAGCTGCCCGTCCGTACTCTGACACGCCGCACACATGTCAGAGGTGCTGCGGGACGTTGGGCGCTGTCAGAGGTGGTTATCGCTATCACCCAATACATTGTCAACACGTGTCCACCCGGCACATGGGGTAAATATTCTCCTGAAGCTCAGTCAGAGATCCTCACGCGCATCTGCTATGCATGCGTCTGGGTCTATGTCGATTAACTTGCTCGATCACTCAGCTTGTTCGATCACTGGTCTGATCGATTAATGGGTAGCTCGACCAGTCTGATCGAGCATCGGGCTGCTCGATCACCTGTGCGGTCAAGCTTCGGATTGTTCGATCGCTTGTGTGGTCGAGCCTTGGGCCGCTCGATCACGTGGATTCCCGCCTTTCGGCTTGGTTCACTTCCGGTCTGCTCTTCTCGACCGGCTCACCAAATCAACTCGTCTTTGTACAGATAATATCCTATATCACACAGGTTTGGGATGGTTGCTGCATGATCCTCTTCACAAATGGGCGGAAAAGTCCCCTTTCAGGCGCTAAAAGATAAACAACATAATCGAACATGCCGAACTATATGAAAAATATTACCGATATTTTTCTATTTATACTTTTTTATGAAAAAATAATTATATTTTGCCATATATATTTTTTTATGTATTGCGAGTGCACATTATGGTTATACGGGTTGCACATAAAATGTTTACCAGATTGCACAAAATCAAACGAGAGCCGACGAATAGAAATGTAGTATGAAATTTTATATTTTGGTTCGATTATTATTATTATTATTATTTCTAAATAGCGCACTTTATACATCGACACGTTGCACTCTATAAGAAAACTGTCGCACTTTATAAAATAATATGTTGCACTTTATCACGACACACCAATATTAATGTCGATAATTCCTAACAAAATACCGCACTGCATACATCTAAAAAAAATATGTCGACACAAAATTTTAATATATTTTGTTATATTTTGCCGCATATATATTTTAGGTTTTTTCAAGAAAATATATATATATATATATAATGCTAATATAAATAAAAAATTATTTTGGTTATGTATGGTGTTTTGATTAACAGACAGACTAACTCAATCATGTCGATCCATTTTTTGTTTGGTTCGGTGCAATTCATAAAAATTGAATCCACTGTAAGTGCACAATAATATTAGAATAGTTGCACATTACATAATAGCTACTGAAATTGAACAAATATAAAAAAATATTTAAAATTTTATATTTTAGTCCGGCGTTTGCTTTATTTAAAAAAAAAGGAAATAACTGAAATTGCTGAATAATATGAAAAAATACTATATCTATTTTATATATTTTTACGTATTGCGATTGCACATTAAGTCTATATGAATTGCACATTACATACTATTGGATTGCACAATATCAAATGATTACGACCAAACTAATTATTTCAGGCCCGGGTGTGAACTTATTATCCTTTTGGGACCACACACTCGGGCATTACCCCTGTTGGGCCGTTGTAGTATTGTGTGTTTGTGTGTAGCGGTGTTATTCCCCTGTTAGGGCCGTTTCTAGGCAAGCTTAGTCCTGTTCTCTCTTTTTTATTCAGCTGTTGGCTGTGTAACAGTTAGTGGTTGTATTTGCACATTTGTGCCCTTCTATAATATTTCTATCGTTCCGGAAA